CAATAACAGCAACAACAATATTGACAAGGTTATAGTTGAGAATTACAACAAATGTAATACAAAATTAATAATTACATAACGATATCAACAACAGTGATGATACTAAATCTTGGTCCAGTCCGCATCATAAAACCAACCAAATTTGGCATCAATGGACTCCCATCAAAGTCTTCTCCGCAAAATGGCAAAATCAGTTAGCGGCCTTAATTAACAAGCACAATGTGTACGTTTAAAGCCCTCACAACTTGCACAAGAACTTGAGCGAGAGATGTTTACCTCCGTCTCAGCTGGTCATGACGTAACGTTTGAGGCGCGTCGTTCAAATCTGACTACTTTGCACGTCGATGTGCTTAGGGAGTAATATACAATGTTAGTATTTAATTTTGTATGTAGTCTTTGGTGAGAACTTTGAGGAGTTCGGAACATCAGCCTCCAATTAGGAAAGACCTAAAATAGCGCATAGTGTAATCCAGGGATTTGTTTGTGATACCTGATGCCCTCCCCAGCTGTTAGGTCTTGTACCACTAGGTCTTAAACGACACTGCCGGGCCACTCATGAGAAAAGGCCCGGGTGAAGCTAGACGTCGCAAATCTAGTTAACTGGCGTTGACTCTATTACACTGTTATTAACTAAACAGCTTCGGCTATATGCATTATAGCAAAATGCAATTTCGTACTAAATTTCGGAGTGTTCGGGGGCATTTGCTCACAAATACCAACTCCATTAGTGATTAAGTTTCTAAACTTTCGACGGGCAAGAGATGAGAAAACTGAAATAAAGAAATATCTTGAGACAATATACATGATGCTATTGTTCTAGCAGATTCAGGGGAAAGGAGACCTCTTTTAAAAAAAATATAATAGGGTACGCCTCGCTACAGAATGACAGGAGACACCACAGAATATTAGGAGACAATATGTGAAAACAGTAAGGAAACGACCCAAATTACCACAGAACAATTAGGGCCTTTTCCCTACTGATACTATGAACACCTAAATCTTTTACTCTCTACTGATGTCACGTTTGCAATATTACTCAACACAGCTCCAATGCACTTCGGTGTTCAGCGTTCCCCATCCCCCCCCACCCTTTCGAAACATCCTTGATAAGTCACACGATATGTTTTTTTTTTTTTCTTGTGCATCCCACGTTCTCAGATGCACCATTGCGACTCTCAGAAAAGTCGAAGTCTTGAGTATCAAATGCACTTTCGTTTAACAAAAAATATTGTATATTGCATCCCTTACCTTTGTTAGAGATTTGTTATAACTGCTTGTCTACTTTCACGAATGGGATATGAGACAAAATGTCTCTCTTGAAGAGTCATGCACACCTGTGTGTGTATGTGTATATCAATATGCGTTGTGAGTCAACGGCTGTTTATGGGTGTTTAAATGTCTACACTTTAGTGTTCTCGTGTTTACTCGAGAAAATTATGAGACACAAAGACAAGGAAAATTGAGCTAGACATTTTTTTATTACTGTTGTGTACTGATGTATATAGATTTTACATGAGAAAATGCAATTTAAGATGTGATAATGACATGTACTAATGCATACACGCGCGCGCGTGCTGTAGAGAGGATCACAAAAATCATTCCCTTTGGCTGGGAATAAAAAAAAAAAAAAAAAAAAGCAAATAGTATATTCAAAGGGTTTGTAGAAGTAGGGTAGTAGAAGGGCGTGGACGTATATTAAGAGAGAAGGGGGGTTTAGATGAAGAATGTTGTGGGGTAAAGGTGAACTAGAGGATAGTGGGAGAGGAGGAATGTAATGTAATGACCTGGGTTGTACTGAGGTGATATTAGGCACTGAGGAATGGGTAGTTGATGTTCAGATTCGCGGTCAAAGGAGATTCAGGGGACGGGGAATCTTCAGGGGACGGGGAATCGGAAGAATTTAAATGTGTGGTAAGTTGATAAAGGGACAAGCCTCAGTGCCTCTATAAAATATGCAAAATAATTACTAGCCATGGTGAGTCTGGAGTATGATAGGGAAACAGTTCACCCCTCAGGTGTGAGGTTAAGGCAAGACAACTAAACTGGGGAATACCTTGCCCATAGTTCCCCTTGACCGTTCATGATAAGCACAGTCAGCCTTTCACCCTTTCAATAAGGCTGTTGCACCATACGAAGTGGATAGACAATGGGGTTGGAGAAGACAGCGAAACGGAAAGGGGAAGAAGAAATGACCGTGCAATATTAGTCTGTGAGGGTTGAGGCCCGAAGCAGGGGTGATCTCCAGCATTGGGTCCCAATCTCCGTCTCCTGAGCGCCCCTCCCTAGGCAATAACGGATATGGGATGGGGGATTAGGAAGGGTAAGGAAATACATGGGAGATGTAACATGTAGTAATGTATGCCGCTTGAGACTTTGCGGGTAAAAACTGTAAAGAATAATATGGATTCAGAAGAAAAACTGGCATTACAAGACTCTGTAGATGACAGGGAGATGGGAGAACGAGAACGCTCTTTGGCGGACTTTGTGGAAAAGAAGTGAGGTAAAGTTGAGAACTGCTACTGAGATAAGGCACCTAATTCAGTAGCTACTTGGAAGAGGATCCGAGATAAGGGCATTTTGGATATGGAGGACGACCTCAATTATTTTATCAACGTTAAGGTTATTAAGGCCCCAGGTATTCTAACATCCCATACCAAACTATCATTTCAGGTTGTACAGCACAATTCTAAACTTCACATCTAAATGTTTTCCACTATTCTTGTGGCAAAAGTGTCAAATGACTACTTTGGTTATTTCATTGGTGGTCTTGTAATTGATCTTCATAGAGAAATGTAAGTCAAAAGATTCATCAGCAATGCTATATTTATATATCGTCTTTTGATAAAATAGCCAAGAGCATACACAGGATCTAAATTTCTCTAAATATATCACTGATATATCAAAGGCAAATGAAGACTAATTTTATTTTATTATTTAATAATCCAACAATTCAGCAATGACAACAAACCCTGGAATAAATATAGAAAAAATCATGTTTATCTTACAAGCTGAGAAATGAAATGAGAAAAAGTATTCATCTAGAAGTGAACACCATAAACTAACCACCTTTTTACTGGGCCTTAAAAAGAAAATGCGCTGGACTCATAACTAACTAATTACTTGATAGATTTTACTTGTTTGGGGGTTGCAAAAAAGTATACAGGGTCATCTATTTTTAAATATAGTTATTAAAAGGCATATACTGCCAGATCTTTCAGATAATCTTGCTTCTTGAATATGCTCTTTTGAAGGTTTTCTGCATTTTTTAAAAGATGCTATTAACAAAATATAAACTCTAAGGTTTGATAACAAATGAAACATCTTAGCAACTCTTGATGATTTACTTTAAGGGTAAAAAACATATGAACAGTTATGCTTTTGACACACATTTGCATTACAGCCAATACCGACTTCAGAATGACCATGTCAATGTCTATATATTAATAATTGGGTTAATTAAATCTGGAAATTTAGTTACTTACTGCAAATAAAAAGACATTAATATATGAATTTGTATAAACAAGACACTTCAACTGAAAACAATCATGATGTCATGTATAGTCAATGTTTAAGATTACAACACTCGATACTACATCACTTCCGTGTCATTTGTTTGCAATGTCAAAATTACAGTCTATGTGAATAAATAGAACTGTAATTGCTAATAAGCTAACTAGTTACTTATTATGGATACATAAGTTAGCTGAATACTTCAGAAATATCACAGAAAATGTAGTACTACCAAGTGTTCATCATATCTTGAACTTAACTATACCCTAACTTTCACTAAATCACCAATTTAATATTTACCATATTGAAATAAATTATAAACTGATATATAAACAAGAACTACACTGATCAGGATTATCTTTTTAAAATTACATATTTCATCCATTAATCAACATGAAAATAAATTCAAACAGATGACTTGTTATTTTTAACATTAATGGCATGACTCACAAGGGGTACATAACTTTCAATATAAAACTGTCACCATGGACTGTTGGTTAAGTTTTATAACCCTGAATAATTTTTTTTGTATGTCAAATTATCTTCCATAAAGAAAAACAAAAAAACTAATCAGTCTGGCCTCATTTATCACTAATTTTGATTCCTACCCACCTACTGACATGAAAATAAGATTTGTTTCAAGGCATTACCTTTCTACTTAGACCATAAAAAGGCACCTCATTAAAAACAGTTCTAACATCTGGCTGATTACCCTGAACCTCATAAAACTAATATTTTTTGTATAAAAACTTTTTTTTCAGCCAGGCCTTACACAATTTATCATTTTACCCTAATTTTTAATTTTTCCCCTTATCTTCTTTCAACCCAACAGTCTTATTGAAAACCAAGAAGTCAGGGCTTGAATCAGGATCTACTGAGTAGAAGCCAGTACGTTCAAACTGGAATTTAGTGTATACTTTAGCATTCTTCACAGAAATGTCTGCCATGCCAAGGGATATGGATAATGAATTGGGATTGACATCTGTAAGAAAACCTCCAGGAACAACTGCTGGGTCTTCTGGACACTCGTGCTTGAATCTGAGAAATAGGGCAAGAAAAAATGTAATAAATAAACAAAAAAAACATGAAAGTTGTTTGTAATATCAGAATGGCAAAAATGTCACACCCATTTTATATACCATTAAGATGAGAAGAAGAAAACACACTTACAATCTCTCATAATTCCTGATTTCACATTTGATAGGTTGTGCTACCCAGTGGATGAAAGCCTTGGGTTTATTGCTCTCTGTAGCAGGTTCACAGAGTACTTTAAGATGATCCACTTTCCCTGAAGAATCTTTTACAACTTCCTGGACTTTAATAACATATCCGCAATGACGAAGGCCTACACTCTGTTGTGGAGTTAATCTTCGATATCCTTTTTCTTCTTCCTGCAATGTCAAATTCCAGGACCTGATATATCATACACATTATTTATTCATTCTATTATTATCATTCTTTATATTTATATACATATATATATATATATA